CTGCTCACCTGCCCAGAGTGACTGGGGCTGGGCGGAAGCCAGGTGTCCTGCCCTGCCCAACCCTGGCCGATCCGCCCCTTTGCGAGCTGCCGCCCCACCGGGAAGGGTCACGGATCTAGGTCCCGGGACCGCGGACAGCCTCAAGCACTGCCCCCCGCCCGGCAGGGTCACAAATTCGGGTCCCGGTACCACGGAAAGCGTCAAGCGCTGCCCCCCGCCCGCCAGGTCACGGATCCGGGTCCCAGGACCACAGACAACCTCAAGCGCTGCCCCCTGCCCCCAGGTCACAGAGCCGGGTCCTAGACCGCGGACAGCCTCAAGCGCTGCCACCCTGCCTGCCAGGACATGGATCCGGGTCCCAGACCGCCGACAGCCTCGAGTACTGCCCCCCGCCCGGCAGGGTCACAGATCCGGGTCCTGGGACAGCGGACAGCCCCCGCCCAGCAGGGACACAGATCTGGGTCCTGGACTGCGGACAGCCTCAAGCACTGCCCCCCGCCCGGCAGGGTCACAGATCTGGGTCCCAGACCGCGGACAGCCTCAAGCACTGCCACCCGCCTGCCAGGTCACGGATCCGGGTCCGGACCGCGGACAGCCTCAAGCACTGCCCCCCGCCCACCAGGTCATGGATACGGGTCCCAGACCGCGGACAGCCTGAAGCACTGCCACCCGCCCGCCAGGTCACGGATCTGGGTCCCAGACCACAGACAGCCTCAAGCACCGCCCCCCGCCCAGCAGGGACACAGATCTGGGTCCTGGACTGCGGACAGCCTCAAGCACTGCCCCCCGCCCGGCAGGGTCACAGATCTGGGTCCCAGACCGCGGACAGCCTCAAGCACTGCCACCCGCCTGCCAGGTCACGGATCCGGGTCCATATATACTAATAAAAGCGTAATATGATAATTAGTCCAGACATCTTCCAGATGACCTTCTGGACATCCTTCCGGAAAAAGCCATGGTGATATATATGTATATATATCATCTTCTTTATGCATTCATCTATTGATAGACACCTAGGTTGCTTCCATATTGTAGCTATTATAAATAATGCTACAATGAACACAGGGGTGCACATATCTTTTTAAATTAGTGTTTTGTTTTTGTTTTCTTTGGTTAAATACCCAGAAGTGAAATTGCTGGGTCTTATGATATATCTATTTTTAGTTTTCTGAGGAACCTCCATACTGTATTCCATAGGAGCTGCACCAGTTTCTGTCTCACCAACAGGGTACAAAGGTTCCTTTTTCTCCACATTCTCTCCAACACTTGTTGCATTTGCCTAATAATTAGTGATGTTGAACATCTTTTCATATGCCTGTTGGCCATCTGCATGTCTTCTTTGGAAAAATGCTTGTTCAAATTCTCTGCCCATTTTAAAATCAGGTTGCTTGTTTTTTTTATTGTTGAGTTGTATGAATTATTTCTATATTTTATATATTTAACCCCTTATCAGAGGTATGATTAGCAAATATCTTCTCCCATTCGGTAGGTTACCTTTTCGTTTTGATAATAATTTCCTTCGTTGTGCAGAAGCTTTTTAGTTTGATGTAGTCCCACTTGTTTGAATTTGCTGTTGTTTCCCTTGACTTTGGATGACTTCTTTCTTTTTTTCATGTTAGTCCTCAGCAAATAATGTCAATTCAATCTTTGAAATATATTCAGAATCCAACCACTTCTTTTTTAAAAAAATATATTTTTATTGATTTTTTTACAGAGAGGAAGGGAGAGAGATAGAGAGTTAGAAACATCGATGAGAGAGAAACATTGATCAGCTGCCTCCTGCACATCTCCTACTGGGGATGTGCCCGCAACCCAGGTACATGCCCTTGACCGGAATCGAACCCGGGACTCTTCAGTCCGCAGGCCGACGCTCTATCCACTGAGTCAAACCGGTTTCGGCGTGATTTTGATTTTTTTCTCGCAATGTAACACGGATTGTTAGAAAACAAGAAAATTCAGATAAAAGATTATCCAAATCAAGTCTAAAGCATTTGATAATTCACTGCCCAATCACCTTTCACAAAGGTTGTAACAAATGATACGTCCACCAGATGATACGTGCCCTTTCCCTGGAAGCTTGCCAACAGCTGATCTCTTCTTTTAGAACTCTCATTGGCCTGTGAAAAAGACAGCACTGCCAGCAAGTCTACAATATGTATTACCTGGCACTTTACAAAAAAATGTTTCCTGAGTCCTGGGATAGAGTTTCAGTCTTGTAATGACTTCTTTTTCCTACAGGAATTTCAGTAAAGGTTGTTTAATGTTTTAAAAAACGCTATTTGTGTTTGTTTTCCAAATTTTTGTTTATGATTATCATTACTACTTAGGCTGAACTTTTTAACAACTATTTGAATTTTTTATTTTGGAATTTGCATATTGGTACCTTTTGCCCATTTTTTTCTACTGGGATTTGTAACATTTTCTAATTGATTTGAAATCACTTACTACTACTACTATTACTACTATGGCTATAAATCCTTTGGGTTAGATAATGTACCTATTTCTCTTTTAATTTTTTATGTATAATAACATATTTTCTTCCTATTAAATCAAGCCTATCAATATTTTCTTTTGTGGTTTCTTACTTTGTCTTACAGAGTCCTTACCCACAATAAAAATATGTAAATATGTATCTACTAAAGGCTCGGTGCATGAATTTGTGCACGGGTGGGGTCCAGCCAGCCTGCCCTGATCAGGCCGGGCTGGCCGGGGAGAGGGGTTGCAGGCGGTTGCCAGGCTGGCCCCGCCCCCGATCAGGTGGGGGAACTGATCAGAGGCGGGGCTGTCCAGGGCCAGGGCCACGGGTGGTTGGGCCACAAGTGGTTTGACCAGCCAGCCCTGCCCCCTGGTCGAACTCCCAGTTGAACTCCCAGTCAAACTCCCAATTAAGGGGACAATTTGCATATTAGCCTTTTATTATATAGGACTAGAGGCCCAGTGCACGAAATCTGTGCACAGGTAGGGTCCCTAGCAGCTGCCAGCTGCTGGCCAGGGCCTCCCTTCATCAGCTGCCAGCTGCTGGCCAGGGCCTTCTTTCATTCCGCACCGCTCCCTGGTGGTCAGCCATAGAACTCCCAGTCAAACTCCCGCAGGGATACTTTGCATATTAGCCTTTTATATATATACTAGAGGCCCAGTGCACAAAAATTTGTGCACTTGGGGGGCGGGGGAGGGGGGGTCCCCCAGCCCGGCCTGTGCCCTCTCGCAGTCTGGGACCCCTCGGGAGATAACGACCTGCTGGCTTAGGCCTGCTCCCGGGTGGCAGAGGGCACGCCCAATTCCTAGGTGCAGCCCCTGGTCAGGCTCAGAGCAGGGCCGATTGGGGAGTTGGGGCACCGCCCCCTGTCACACACAGAGCAGGGCGGATCAGGGGGTTGGGGCGCTGCACCCTGTCACACTCAGGGCAGGGCCAATGGGGAGGTTATGGCTCTACCCTGTCACACACAGAGCAAGGCCCGTGGAGGGGGGTTGGGGCGCCACCCTCTATCACCCACAGAGCAGGGCCGATCAGGGGGTTGGGGCGCCACCACTGTCACACTCGGGGCAGGGCCGATGGAGAGGTTATGGCTCTACCATGTCACACACAGAGCAGGGCCGATCAGAGGGTTGG